GAGATAGTTCTGTCTGATTTTCAGGTTGCTTGATTGCTCAAGTATCCTCTTTCATAAATATATTCTTCCTCAATCGTCAGACCAGTACATGGTTGTGCAAAAATAAAATGGTCATCTTTCCATGCCAGCAGAGATGTGGTTCTGTGCTATGTTATACAAACTCTTTAAGATTCCTTATGTTTATGTATGTACATATATATTTTGTCTATTATGAAATATTTAGATTTTAAGCTTTAAAGCTTTCTCATTGTACCGTGCAATTTTTTTCATGAATTTCACATAAACCATAAGTTTGAATGTTTTATAGTTACAAAACAAAAAGGCTTTATAGTTTCAAAATAAGCATATGAAAACACAGCGGCATGAAGTGAGCCAACACGGCGCATGGGGTGGAGAGGAAGCGGCCATTCACAAGACCAAACCCACATACATGCAGGAGACAGCAATTAAGAGGCCAAGGATAGGGATGTTTTGAAAATATACTTAAAACAAGATCAAAGGAGATCTTTGGACCTTTGAAAATGCCCCAGAAAAGTGAGTGAAAAACAATAGCCTTCTCTCTTTTTTCAGAGCTCTGACTCAGACCTCCTCCTAGAAGGACATTGCAAAGTTGAATATGTTATTTTAAAATACTACATATATTCCTTTAAGTGAGTTAAACTATTATGTGCAATTTTTTTTGAAGGATCCTAAAAGCAGTCATGTATGTGTACAACATAATTACATAGGTGGCCCACCGTGAGTCTTCACGTCCTAAGAGGCTCCGAGGGCACCCCTATTTCTTTTCTCATAATTACTGCATGCACCTATAATCCAGAGGAACTTGGGCAACTCAGAAGCTCTCAAACTGAGCAAGGAGATGTCAAAACGAGGGCTTCAATGCCACACTTCCTCTGGGCAGTTCTCCCTAAACACAGCACTCCCCATACCCTAGTCAAGTCAGATTCCTCTGTTATAAGTTCTAACAATATCCAATTCTTTTCTAGCATTCAGCAGTTTGTAATTATATATTCATTTTCTAATTCCTTGGACAGGTCTGCCTCCCTACTAGACAGCAAGCTGTATGAGGCATTGTGTTTATTTTTTGTTCCACTTAGTCCAGTGCCTGGTGTATGGCATGTATTCAATAAATATTTACTGGCTATGTGAAAGTGGTATTTGTCTTTCTGATGTTATTCCTGACATAAACTGAGACAGGTATGAGATTACCATGGTGTGTGACGGGGGGGCAGGGGAAGGAAGCAATGGGGCTTAGAAGTTTCTAAGCAGGTGAAATGCCATGGTTGACATGGAGTTCTATGTATCAGAGTGCAAAAGGCTTTCCTACTAAGAAGATAGGCATCCTTGACAAGTAGGTGACTTCCATTTGCTGCCTGATTCTGTGATTTTAGGTTTGAATGTTTTCTACTTTTATCTTTCCCCCCCTTCTCATCCTTCCTTCCTCCCTTAGTTTGAAGTCTCAGGAAGGAACTTGGGAATAGACATATTATGAAGAGGAACTCTTATCAAGGGCTCTAAGGGAATGTTTTATGGCGAGTAGCTTTGCAGAGACCACAGTCATGTTAGGACTGAACATCCTTATTATGATAATGTTGGTTGAGACTTTCAGATCATCTGATTCTCACAGAGGTATTGTGATGTAGGCAGCTCAGAATCATGGCCCTTAGTTTATAAATGAGGAAAGGGGGTGGGGATCAGAAGAGGTTGAATTATCCAACTTACATTGGAAACAAGAGCAAATTAACATTTTTTTGGAGAGTTTACTATGTGTTGAGGCAGTACATTAAGCCCTTTATATTAATCATTACCACATCCCCATGAGATAGGTAACCATTATTATTCCCATTTTACAGATGAGGAGACAGACCTAGAGAGGTCAAATTATTTGCCTCAAATTGCATTATCAAGAAGCACAGAACCAGGCTTCAAACTCAGGTAGTCTGTGTCACACCACCATGCTAATGAGTTGCACTGGGAGATCTCCAAGAGTACACTGTGTTATTTGAACTTGCTTCTATAGGTCTGACTCCTGGTTTAATTCTGCTACTTTACGTTGCCAATTTTTTTTTAATCTGTTTGCAGTTTCACCTGAGCTTAGAATTTATCACTCAGAAACCACAGTGATCATTACCTATAACTGAAATTAGGTCAACCAGGTTCAGATACAAATCCCCTATATTTACTAATTAAAATAACTGCTGAATACATTTACTAATTTATTTTTTAGAGGTGCTCATTGGTTAATTACTACAGGGCACATCTACTGAATATATTGGGAAATACTTGCACTATTCTCTGACACTCTACAAGACATTAAGTAGTATTAAAAAAAGTCCATGAAAACACGTGATTTAGTTCTTTTTAGACTATTATCTCTTCAAGGAGATGACAGTGACCCACAGTGACCGGCACATTTTGTGCCCTCCACAGATCCAAGTCCCTTTTTCAATGGGTTCCCTTTACATTATATTTTGTCACTGAAAAGAGAACATGAAAATGTTGTAATCTGTAGCTGATAAGAAAATTGCAACAAAAGGTACCCTTGCTTAGAGTTCTAGAGAGGGAAGTGATCCAGTCAAGATTTGGGGCTTGTGCACTGAGCTATGACCCAAGTTAGACACCTGAACTCTTGGTCAGGAGGACAGTGAGCAGAGGTCAGTACAGGGGTGTCATTAATGTATCTTTGGAATATCACTGACTGCATTTGAAAGTCACGTTAGAAAGGATATTGGCTGGTTTTGGGCTTCTCGTGTTATCTGTGCCTCTTCCCCTCTCCATTATGGATAACTGAGGTTTTTAATTGAGGTTTTAATAAACAGTAGTGACATTCTAGTAGATGAAGGAAGGGGGCAGTCCCCGAGGGCAATCTGAACTTCTGCTTAGTATATTTACTCTTGCTGTTTTCCTTCCTCCTCATTTGTAATTCAGGAGGCTCTCTGAGAAGAGAGAGAGACAGCGAGGCTTGAGGCTTCTTAGATGGATCGAAGGATCACGAGCTGGGATACCAAGTTCTATGAAAAGGTCTGCTATTGAATTTGCTCTACCTTTAGGCAAATCATTTGATCATGCTGTGCTTTGGTGTCTTCCTGTGCTTGCTAAGTGTAAATAACATGTATTTGACTATTTTGTGATTATTATAGAGTCTTTTAAATGTGTGGGTGATTTATTTTTCCAGGCCAGCTGCTCAGGTATAAAATGAAAATCTGCTCCTTTGAGATGCTAGGCTCCATGGCCGTCAACTGACCTCCAAATCCTTGAGTGCAGCAGCTGTCTAGTTGCTTCTTGTTCATCTGACACAGTTTGCAGTCTCTAAGCTGTGGCTCCTCAGGTTTACTCTATAGTTGGGGGGCATACCTTTCTGACTCCTTTGTTTTCAGGAATGAAATATGTCACTTTACATACTCTTGCTGCTTTCACCCTCCTCCCCACCCCACCCCCTCTAAAAATATAAAGGCTTTCTTTTGGCACAGACAGAGCTGCTTTATCTGACACTGATTTCAAGAGATAGAGGGAAAGGTGACCTGGTAAACAAACTGAATTCTTCGGACTGGCTCATATAGTTTTGATGACGAGGGCCAGGACCACTAGAGGTTTGAACTAGATTTAGGAAGGTTCTTGCTCTTTGCAGTTTTGGCAGGAAGCAGTTAGGGAGTATACTGAAAAGAGAGAACACAAAGTATCCTCCCCCTTTCCCCGCCCCGTGTTTTTGTTAGTTATATAGCCTACCTCACATTAGGCAACAAGACATCCCTGTTAACCTAAAAGTGCTGAGCTGAGGTTCTTAAGAAGCTACTAAAAATGTTTGTGGGTAAAGGACGATTTTGTTCCTCATCAGTGGATCACCATACCACTGTTTCACAAATGACAATCTCTGAAGAGCAATATTGGAGTAAACGGAAAGGCTTGTTTCTTTGGAACTAAAATAAAATGTATTTACATTATTTCTAGTGCAGTGAAATTAAAAGCAGTTTCTAAACAAACCTGGAAAGGTGTTGAAGCTAGAGAACCTGTGAAATATGTTACTCCTTAGTTGTAGCTTGGTTGTAGCAGCAGGAAGAACTTCAGACACAGGAACACAGGGTAACCCTTCAGTTCTGAAACGTTGCTAAGTCTCCTCGTGCTATAAATGATCAAAGAAACATCCGGCTAAATGACTGCTTCCAGAGCTGAGTTTGCTTTAAGAGTGTTGGGTCCAACTTCCGCCTGTTCAAGGAAACTAGCAGCAAGGGACTCTGATTTGTGTGTGTGTGTCGGGGGGCTGGTCTTCATTCTTGGGCAGGGTCGTCAGTACCTCAAAATATTACTTGCAGGCGTCCCAGCTGCAGTAGCTTCCAACAAAGGCAGAGCTTTCACTGATGCCTCTTAGAAACATGTAGCCAGCAACTTGCCAGGCTCGGGGAACAGGACTGGGAGGAGGGGAGAATTTGGTGATATCCTTCCCCCCCCGCCCCCCAGATTCCTGACTGCTTTGTAGCTCCTCCGGAGCAGGGTGGAGGCCGTAGGGGTGGGGGTCTGGCTCGTCGGCTCTAAATGTAAATAGGAAACCACGCAGCCGAGCCAGTGACAGTTAAGAACTGGCAGCGTCCGTCCCAGGCAAGGTGTTGGTCTGACAGTATGGACGTACGAACGGCAGGAGACTCCCCTCTCCTCACCCCCGGGTCCATCTGCACAACCAGGTGGAAGTCCTGCCGGGGCCGGGGGGTGGGGGGATGAAGCACCCAGAGGCAACGACTAAAGCGAGGAATGACCAGAAGTCCTAAGGGCACCACTTTGGAGAGACCGGAAGGTTTCAGGAACTACCTTCTGAAGTATCGCCCCTACTCTAAGAAAATTAAAATCATCTCCGCCATTACATGGAGCCCCGGCCCAGACGGAAGGTGTGGACGCGCGCCGGCCGAATGCGCGCTCCCTTTGTCCCGCCTCCCGGCCGGCGGCTCAATCAACCGGGGAGCGCGCCCCTGTCTCTCTTACGTGCTCCGGGTGGAAACTGGCGCCGGCGGCGGCGGCGTTCCGCGGGCGGAAAGGAAAGGGGAGGCGGGAAGGCTGTGCGCCGCCCGCTCCTCCCCACCCCCCGCCTTGGCCCTGAAGGGGCTGGATGGGCAAGTTGGGCGCGATGGCTCGAGCCCGGGCGGTGGCGGCGGCGGCCGGAGGCGGCGGCGCCTCCTCCTCCTCGCCCCGGCGCCGGCGGTGATCCGAACGAGCGGCCGCGGCCCCCGATGAGACTGTTCGTGGGCTGGCTGTGCCTGAGCCTGGCGTCCGTGTGGCTGGCGCGGAGGATGTGGACGCTGCGGAGCCCGCTCACCCGCTCCCTGTACGTGAACATGACGAGCGGCCCCGGCGGGCCGGCTGCGGCCGCGGGCGGCAGGAAGGAGAACCACCAGGTACGCGGCCGGCCGGGATCGGGCCCGGGCCGGGCGGGGGCGTGGCAGCCGGGCCTTCCCGCGCTCGGCCCCGCTATTGTGCGGGGCGCCGCGGCGAGAGAGGGCCCCCCGGGCCGTCGCCCCCCGCCGCCTCGGCCCTTCAGAAAGTTTTCCCGACGTCTTCCCGGCCGGGCGCTGCGGCCGCCACCCCCGGGCGCTCGGCCCAGGGCCCCGCGGCGCCTTTTGTTCCCGGGCGCGGGCGGAGAACGGCCTCCCGGTTCCTCCCGGGGCCCGAGGGTGGGCCCCGGAGCCCCGCATTGTTCCCGGCTCCCGGGCGGTGATCGCAAGCGCCCGGCCGCAGGGCGCAGGAACTTTGGGGCGGGCGCGTGGCCGCGGGCATCCATCTGGCCCCGGGGCCTGCGGTGTAAAGGACCAGACCGAGCCCATTACCCTGGACTGCCTTTATAACTCCCGGGAATCAAAGCGAAAAGCCGGTCCCTCTTTTTGTCTGGTCGAATCTCTGAGCATACAAAGGGCCATAAAGAAATTTAACCATGCATCGTGAGCCATTTAACTCTCTGGGCTTATTCGGGTGACATTTTCCCTCGGCAGTTAAAAAAAAAATGTGTTTGACAGGTCCTCACACTCCCATCCTCCTGCACCTTCCCCCTCCGGCCTAAGAGAGCTCTCCTTTAAACTTCGGTGTTGGTTATCTGACCGGAAAGATGTGGTTAGGAAAGAAGATGATGCAAGCTTTTCCTGGAAGGGTTTTTTAAAAAACAGAATTAGGCAGGAGTGAATTCCTTTCAGAGTTGCGGATCGTGAACCGTGCGAGGTGACCGGTTAGGTCGTCTTTTCATTAGCTGAGTTTTGTGCCACTTAACAGAAGTATTTGCTGGTCAACTGCAGAATTAGGAGTGATATTTCATTTTTGACTGTAATGTAGTTTGTGGTTAACCTTGAATTCATTGAAAGGAGGCTTTCGAACTCTGCCGGAGTGTTGGCTTATAATTGCTAGCATTTATAGTGCATTTTGCCTTTCCAGAGAGCAGTAAGCGATTATTCCCCATTTTGTGTCTCATCGTTTTCATAGATTTCTCATTTTCCTATGTTAGGTTTCTTACTATGCCAGGCGTTCAGAGAGTTTACACTGGGGTGGATTCCGTGTATTCTAATGAAAGTAAAGAATTATCTAAGGACATAAAGCAATTCATTAAGAAAAGTAGTGTTTAGTTTTTATCTAGTAATTACTGATCGTGGCCCCTTTTATATTTTTAAAGGAAATCATACATTTCCATGAAATTTTTTGTGATCCCACAGCTATTGTAATTTGTTAGGTAATCATGCCTATGATATTGTTAGGAGTGTACTTAAAGTCAGTAGGTGATCCTAAGTTGTAAAACCACATTCTTTGCAATGGGTTAATTACTTAACACTAATCATTCTCAGAGAAAACCCTAAAGTACTGCAGTGATAATGTACAGTTACCAGAATGTCACATAGCCATATGGAATATGGATGGTGGTGTAAAACAATGAATTAGAAACGTCATTTTCAATAATTGGTAGAAATAAGGTTCTGGGTAGGATAAAAAGGAGGCAGATTTCCACTGTTGTGGAATTACGGTTGAGTCTCTTAGCTGTAGGTATTGATGACTCCTGATTATGTATACTATAACACACTTGATATGTTTTCACTGCTTATGGAGGAATTGGTTATATTTTAAAAATTGAAAAGCTGTTTAAGTAGTTTGGTTTTTTTTGGAATAGGTAGACTATAGATAGTGCCTCACATTATCTCCTAACAGGAGGTACTTTCTAATTTGTACCTTTTTAAAACTGAATCAGTTAGGTTCTGAGGAAAACTGATACTGGTTTCAGATATCTCCTTTACTTTGTTACACTTCTGAGCTACTCAGGTATGTGTGTACACAGGTGTGTTTTAACCAGTTGGACTAACAGTTTGGCAGCTATGTTCTCCAAGGTGAAGACTAATCTGGTACTTTCTGAATATTTAGGGGGGGATTGGCCCTTTTCCTTAGAGTGATCAATCCAGAGGTTATTTTGAGGTGATGCATTGACATTATGAAAATATTGCCCATGAATAAAGATGAAAATGAACAAAAGAAACTGTGTAGAAACCACAGTGAGATAAAGTAAAAGAGGGGACTGTCCCCTCTGCAGAATGCTGCGTTGATGATTTATATTCCAGGATCCTAGGTTTGCCTTATAAACTTTCTGACTTGTGAAGTAACTTAACTCTAACATTCTTTCCCCCTTCAAATTTATAGTTTCATGCAAGGTTTTCTGGTGTTCATTTGGGTGTGTGGGTTCCATAGCCAGCCACATCTGGTTCTTTTGGATTTGCATGAAAGTGGGGTTATGGATTTAATTGAACCGTACTTAGCACAAGTTTTCTTTATGGTTATTTTATGAAGAAATTATGGTGGAGGATTCTCTGGTTAAAAGAGAGGTCTTATTTACTATCGCCTAGAGATGAGATGCAAGGCTCCTTTGAGCTAAAGTCGCTCTAAAATTGTAGGAGCAGCACCATTTTAATAACTTGGTTGGGTGTGCTAGCTTCAAAACTGGGATTATTTTTCATTTTGGGCAAGGGAGAAGCAAGGAAGGGCTTCTCTTAAAGCCAGGATATGGCTTGCAGGCCAAATTGGGCTCACTGACTTGTTACAGCCTATGAAGTCAGGTTAGTTTTACATTTTTAAATGGTCGCAAAAAATATATAATATTTTTGTAACATGTGAACATTTCTTATATGAAATTCAGATTCCAGTGTCTACAAATAAAGTTTTGTTGGCATAGAACCACCACATTCGTTTACTTGTCTGCAAGTACTTCATGCTGCAGCAGCTGAATAGCGTGGTTGGTACTTTATGACCTACAAGTGGCCCCTTCTAGAAAATGAGTTTTCCCCAAAGAAACTTTCCAGCTTCCTTCATCAGGAGCACATTTCTTAATCACAGGTTGCACAGTGGATGGTTTGACTCATTGGGAAGAAATAGAGCCAGGCAGTGAGAAACTAGATATGTCACTTTTCGGTATTGGCAGGCTTGGAACTTGAAGATAGCAACAACAAAAACTTTGGATCTAGTGTTTTTGATGCATTGTACCTACTACTTAAAGTTAATGCAACTATTATGGAGCTACTGAAACTTGAAAGGACTCTAAGGCCCTGCTAACTAGGTTCTTGATAATAAGTCATTCAATAGTTTCTGAGTCGATGGAGCAAAAAAGAATTGTTATGGGACTCTGTGGAACCAGGCCAAGACAGTTTCTTCAGGTGATGTACTGTAAGGATTTTTAAGAGCACAGGTAACATTGGTTATCTGGAATTAGTAAGGTGTAACTTAAAATTGGAAGTTTGTGTGTATCTGCCTTATTTTTTCACCTTTTTAAAAAAGTTCAGAACTGTGTTATGTTACAAGCAGGGATTTAAGATAATTGAAACGATTGTTTTTTTTCCAAATAAAAAAAATACTTGGACATCACAGCCATAGGTCAAAGGTTGTGCTGTGGACAGATTCGACCTCCTGTCCCCTCTTCATTTACTTGTGGAGGCTGACCAAAGTCAGGCATGAGTTAACAATGCTCAGGGGCAGTTGCCAGCTAGCCAGATGGACACTGGTGGATTTGTGTCCTCTCCTGAACTGCCTTCCAGAACCTGGAGGCCTTTGTAGCCGAATACCAAAGAGATTTTGTAAAGAGTTTCTTTCCTTATAATCTGTGTTGAAACCCTGTATAAGTGTTTGCCTCAATTTCACGGAACACTAGGATCTCTCTCTTCTGCTGGATATACCAGAGGCCTTTATGTTCCCCTTTGAAGGTATTTGAGGGCACCCTGGTAATTGCCAGTAAAAGACAGTTGTTCAGACCTTCTGAAGCTTTGGTAAAATCTTAGGATTATAAAATTCTAGCAGTGAGTGAGTATTTGAAATGAAAATTGCCAATAATTTATTTATTAAATCAGAGCTGAAACAACTTAATCTAATCCATATGAATTGTTTCCCTACATGGACGTGAGGGTGCCCTGTCATTCACATCTCACATAAAGAGGTTGAAAATCTCACATAAAGAGGTTGTTGGTTTAGGTTTGTGTCATTTGTGGAAAAATAAAGAATGGTTTGAAGATTTACTCTTATGCTGTGCTTAGATGCAAGAAAGTGTCAGTGATTGAATGTCTGGACTGATAGGACTCATTGCAAAACTTAGAATGTGATTTTTGAAGCCTTAGCTGTGAGGTCAATGTCGTCAGGCCTGGTCTGACCACCCCCTGTAGTAGAAAAGATTCTGTGTTCATGGATCCCATCAGTGGAGCCTTTCCAATTGTTTTTAGTGGTACTAAATGCCTCAGGTCTTTGGTTACTCATTCCTTTTGAGAATGGCTGGGTGCCCAGACCTACAGTGTGGCTTTTAGGCATTCCCTTGAACTTCAGTTCTCTGACTGGCTTTTGTGGGCCTTGGACAGGAAGGGGAAGGAAATCAAGTTATTGTGCTTCTATTGTGTGCCAGACGCTTTAATGTATCATCCTCTCTCATCCTCGTAACAACTCCCGGAGGTAGGTGCTACACCCCCTTTTTTGATAGAAGATTGAGCCTAAGAGAGAGAAAATTTGCTCGGGAGACAGTTGGTAGGTGGCAATTTGGGTTTTGACCCCAGCTCTGTCTGGTTTCAAGGCCCAAGCTTTCCCCACCTTTTCATGATGTCTCTCCTAGGAAACTTTGTGTTGTCAGAGGGTCTGTGAAAGTAGGGTGCCTCCTTAATAGGTAACTGCCTCCACTCTAGTGGACCTCTGTGTAGACACTGAAGCTATGTAACTATACAAAAACACCAGTTGGAGTTTTGCAGCTTGTGAGTTAGACAGGGATGGGACAACCGTTCCAAGTTTGGGCCTTCATCCAGTTTGTGCATGCTTTGGTCAAGCTTAATGTTGGGGAAAAAAAATCTTACCTATGGTGTCTTTTTTTCTAACACCAACTAATTCTCTGGCATTGGCTGGGTGTCCT